GCGCGGAGGGGCGCAGTGAGGGCTGTTATCGGTGCCTGCACGAGTGCGCCAGTGCTGCTGGCTTGCTGTCTTGCTTGCTTGATTGTGTCCTCTGCTGAGCATGCATCATCACCTCAATGCACAAATGAACCCCACTTAACCCACAGGAACGTGCCGCAATACTGGAAACCTTTCTCGTTTTATCTCAGGAGGCGTGTGTTTTTGTTTGAACCCCGATCTCACTCTTGGAGCCGTCGCTGCTCCTCTCCGGCCGTGTGCTGGCTCGTCACCGGCTTCAATCTCCTGGCTGCACACCCAGACCGCCACCCCCAGCTCGCCACGTCGTCGCAAGGCATTGATCATCAAGCCCGCGCCGGCGCCACGCACGTGCTGTTGGGGATCAACCCCTTGGCGGCCCGGGCTTCCCGGAACGCGGCAGGCGTTGTGGCGCCGGCGCGGGCGGCGGCTGCTCCCTTGACCTTCAACGCCCAGCCTGCTCGCTTTCGCCTGGCAGCGCACACGCACATCAAGGTCAAGGTGGGTGGGGGCGTGGGCTGATGGGTTGGGGGGACGAGGCACGTGTGGTTGTATTGGGCGGCCAGCAGGGTTTTGAGGGGGCGCGGAGGGGCGCAGTGATGGTTGTTATTGGTGCAGGAGTGTACCCTTTCTCAGTTGCTGTCTCGCCTGCTTGCTCATGTCCTCTGCGTGATCATCACCTATTCCATGCACACAATCCAACCCCCCTCCGTCCACCAACAGGCATGTGCTGCAGTGGTGAAAACCTTCGTCACTTCATCTCAAGAGGCGTTTGTTTGTGTTTGGACCCCGATCTTTTGGAGCCGTCGCTGCTCCTCTCCGGCCGTGTGCTGGCTCGTCGCCGGCTTCAATCTCCCAGCTGCACACCCAGACCGCCACCCCCAGCTCGCCACGTCATCGCAAGGCATTGATCATCAAGCCCGCGCCGGCGCCACGCACGTGCTGTTGGGGATCAACCCCTTGGCGGCCCGGGCTTCCCGGAACGCGGCAGGCGTTGTGGCGCCGGCGCGGGCGGCGGCTGCTCCCTTGACCTGCAACGCCCAGCCTGCTCGCTTTCGCCTGGCAGCGCAC